AGGGCCAAGAGCTGAACAGAAAATTTCAAAGGTCAGCTCGAGAAGACAAAGCCAAATATTAAAACAAAATGTACAAAGACCTGGAGTCAGAAAACCAAAGAGAAAGAATATGCTCAGCATTAATAGAAAGACTAAATTAATAAAGATAAAAGAAGAAATCTGTTAGAGAGCAAATAAAAATAGAACTGATAAATGAAACGGAACCCTGAGTTTTAATAACAATAAACCTTTATTTTAATACTAACCAAAAAGAAAAAAAAAGAAAAATTTCAGATATTAAGAAAAAAATCAAAGCTAAACACATGTTAAAAGAATGTTAAAATAGAAGAACATTTTGCATGATTTTATGTCAGTTATTTGAAAAGATATTTAAAAACCAGAACTAATTTAGCAAATAGAAGTATAGCAAGTAATTATTTTGAGCTGGACAATGCACTAAGTGCTTTACACTCTTTCTCATTTGGTCCTTAATTACTTTTCAAGTATGTATTGTTTACAAACTCAATTTATACATGAGGAAATTAGGTAAGTTAAGTCACTAGCCCAAAAACAGTTGTTCACAAAGAGGCAGAGCTGTGACTTGAATTCAGGACTCTGGACAATAACGTGTGCTTGTATCCACTCAGTTACCTTGTTATAGAGAAAGGAAAACTTCAAAAAGTATAGCAACTGTGGGCATTATGTAAGGCAAAATGGACCTCTGACAAAAGTTACGGATGACAAAACTCATTGAAATGACGGTGGCTGAAATAAGGTAAGTAGGAAAGTAGCCAGTGGCAGACCCTAGTCTGGAAAAATTACACTTATCAATTGTACTTAAAAATACAGAATTCATAAAGAAATGGAGCAATATAAATGTTAGAATCCAAATGGAAATGAAAAGCACTTCAAAGGTTATTAAGTCAATGTTCTTTTCAGAACTAATTTTTTATAAAATTATTTTTTAATTTTTAAAACTCGAAAAATTATCAAAGAGGCAATTCTTATAGGCGTATACTGTGAGGTATCCCCATATTAAAAGCAGAATATTAGAATAACAATATACAGGCAATAAAGAAGGGCAAAATTGAATTCCATAACAATCTGCTTAATTTAGAAAAGGTGTCTCTGCAATGGCTCCAAAGTTCAGAACTTAAAAGAAGTAAGTCCATTCATTAATGATGCCAGATGAATGGACTGTAAACCATTTTTACCGTACCTTTGATTTTAATTTCCCATTCTCTCTTGAGGAAGACATATCTTTGATCGATTCTGGAGGCATATAATTGACTGTGCCAACCTATTTTCCAAGTCACAGAAAACACAAATTAATAAAAATGTTTTAGTTTTAAAAAATATATTCTTAGAGCATTGTAATAATTACAGATTTCATTATTTTACCTAAAAATTTACAATAATTTCAAACAATGTTAAGATAAACGTCAAACTTCTTTATAACATCAGTGAAATAAATTGGTTAGAAAATTAATTCCTTTTAGAATGCTGAATTTATATATCGTTATGTTGTTGTTAAGTGTTGTCAAGTCAGTTCCAACTCATAGGGACCCTATATAGGGTTTCCGAGGAGCAGCTAGTAGGTTTGAACTGCTGACTTTTGTGATTCACAGTCCAGTGCTGATCCTACAGTACTACACCAGGAGTGCACATTTATTATAGAGGGTAACTAATAATGTCAGCCGTATAACCTGGCCAGCCTAAAGTTATATTAATGGTCATACACTTTGAGGAACCTAATCAGTCATTTCTACATCAGAATAGACCTAATTTTTTTTTTTTTCATAAGCCAACCAATATACAAACAAGAGCAGTATGGTTTATTTCCACATACACCTTGAGCCCATGTCTAAACTAAGATGGGGTGTACATCTAAATTAAGCAAGAGTTCCTATAACATGATTGTTTTTGTTGTTATGTGCCGTGGTATCAGTTCTGACTCATAGCGACCCTGTACAGGGTTTCCAAGGCTGTAAATCTCTATGGGAGCAGAACGCCTCATCTTTCTCCAGCAGAACAGCTGGCAGTTTCAGACTGCTGACCTTGAGGTTCACAGCCCAATTCGTAACCACTACACTACCAGATCTGGCACACACGAGCCATACTATTCAAAAAGGCAGCATTTACTTAAGGACAAAATCAGAAAGGTAGGGAGAGGAGGAGGAATGGAAATCAGAAAGACAGTGAGGAAATATGCTAAGCAATGCTACACTGAGGGAACTGCAATCACGATAAAGTGTATGATTTGCTAAATGTAAAATGGATGAACTGTCGGTAACACTAAACTCACAATTAAAAAAAAAGATTATGTCACTTTATAATGCAAATGGAAGAAATGAGGAGGTACAAGAGCTGAACAGAAAATTTCGAAGATTAGCTCAAGAAGATAAAGCCAAATATAACAAAATGTGCAAAGATCTGGGATCAGAAAACCAAAAAGGAAGAACACGCTCAGCATTTCTCAAGCTGGGGGAACTGAAGAAAAAAATTCAAGACTCGACTTTTGTTATTGAAGGATTCTCTGGGCAAATTATTGAATGATACAGAAAGCATCAAGAGAAGATGGAAGGAATACACAGAATCACTGTACCAAAAGGAAATGGTTAGTGTTCAACCATTTCAAGAGGTAGCATAGGATCAAGAGCCAGTGATACCGAAGGAGGAAGTACAAGGTGCATTGAAGGAATTGGCAAAGAGAAAGGCACCAGGAATTGATGGAATAAAAACTGAAATCTTTCAAGAAAGTGAGGTGGTACAGGAGGCACATGCTCATTTATGACAAGAAATTTGGAAGACAACTATCTGGCCGACTGATTGGAAGAGATTTAGTGTCCATTCCAAAGAGAGGTGACGCAATGGAACGTGGAAATCATTGGACAATGATTTTTTGAGATCCCATGCGAGTAAAGTTTTACTAAAGGCGATACAGAAATGGCTGCAAGCATACATTGACAGAGAACTTCCAGACGTTCAAACTGGATTCAGAAGAGGCTGTGGAACGAGGGATATCATTGCTGATGTCCTATGGATCTTGGCTGAAAGCAGAGAATATCAGAAATATGTTTATCTGTGCTTTGTTGAATATGCAAAGGCTTTCAATTGTGTGGATCATGACAAGCTATGGACAACACTGCGAAGTATCAGTATCCCGGAACACTTAATTGTGCTCATGAGGAATCTGTACATGGACCAAGAGGCAGTTGTTCGAACAGAACATGGAAACACTGAATGGTTTAAAATTAAGAAAGGTGTCTGACAGGGTTATATTCTTTCACCATACTTACTCAACCTGTATGCTGAGCAAATAATCCGAGAAGCTGGGTTCTATGAAGAAAAATGTGGCATCAGGATTGGAGGAAGACTCATTAACAATCTGCGATATGCACATGATACAACTTTACTTGCTGAAAGTCAAGAAGACTTAAAACATTTACTGATGAAGATCAAAGAGCACAGCCTTCGGTATGGATTACACTCAATGTAAAGAAAATAAAAATCCTCATCACTGGACCAATAAATAACATTCTTATCAACAGAGGAAAGACTGACGTTGTCAAGGACTTCATTCTTTGTGGATCAACTATCAACACTCACGGAAGCAGCAGTCAAGAAATCAAAGGATGCATTAGGCAAATCTGAGGCACAAGACCTTTTTTGAACAGCAAAGATGTCAGCTTGAAGACTAAGGTGCGCCTGACCCAAGCCATGGTATTTTCAATAACCTCATATGCATGTGAAAGCTGGACAGTAAATAAGGAAGACTGTAGAAGAATTGACGCATTTGAGTTATGGTGTTGGAGGAGAATATTGAAAGGGCCATGGGCTGCCAAAAGAACCAATAGAACCGTTTTGGAAGAAGTGCAGCCAGAGTGCTCCTTGGACCCAAGATGACCAAACTTCATCTCTTCGGACATATTGTCAGGAGGGACCAGTTGCTGGAGAAGGATATCATGTTTGCGAAGGTGGAGGGTCAGAGAAAAATAGGAACACCCCCAACAAGATGGATTGGCCTGGTGGCAGCATTGATGGATACTCAAGCATGGCAACAGTAGTGATGTTGGCTCAGGATTGGGCAGTGTTTCGTTCTGCTGTGCATAAGGTCACTATGAGTCGGTACCAACTCCATGGTATTCAACAACAAATTTTATTAATAAAAGGAATGATCTTACTTTTATTTAGGGTCTTGTCATAGAATATAACATCAAGCTGGTTTTCACTAATGTTCACTCATATTTTTGATAAAGTGAATGATAGTTAACTAGAATTATCTGAAGGGCAATCTGTTCATCTATTCTTCCTATAAGGGAGGAATAAAATAAAAAATAATACTTCACTGAGATTTATTCTTAAGATTAAGGCAGATTCACACCAGAAATTTGTATACATGAACCGTATTATCTTGTTGCAAGCAGGATCATTTTTGACTTAATAGCTTGGTGGCATTGCTTTAGTTTTTAAAGGATAAATCTCAATAAAATATTATAAAAATGCTATTCAGAGCAATATTTATTATGACATTCTAATATAATAGCCTACTTAAATTTATTTTATAGACATTCTCTCAATTCACAATAATTTTTTTTTTTAAAGAAATATATTTCAGATTTATGTGATAGGTAAAACTTTGCTAATGTGGAAAACAGAATTTCATTACCTCATGGACAATGAAAAACAAGTAACTCCAGTTCCCTATTTGGTGGGTATCAGGAAACTCTAAGTGAAATGCTGAGGTCAATTTTAGATACTAACTAAGGTGAATTCCTAAGCAGGTATTAATAGATCACGACATCAGTTATGGATTCCTGGTGTAGTGCTAGAGGATAATGCACTAGACCTCAAGGGCAGAAGTTCAAATCCATCACCTGCTCCTAGGAAACCTGATATGGGGCTATGAGTCGGAGCCAACTTGATGATGTATAACAACAAAACACCTCAGCTATGGAGTATAGATGTGGCACTGTAGGATAGGCACTGGACTGCCAACAACACTGTCTACAGTTCAAACCTACCAGTCACTCCTCAGAAACCCTATACAGGTTGCTATGAGTCAGAACTGAGTTGATGGCACTTAACAACCACCACCTCAGCTATAGGAAGAGCATTCAAAATGGCCAGACACTATATTTCTACCTGATCTTGACTTTCTACTATAAATTTTATTAACTGTAATTATAGTTTTGATTTTGATTTTACAGTTATAGAATACATTTCTTATTAAAAGGCTTCAAATCCTTTGCGGAATGAGATAGATAAAAATAAATCTCTAGCAAATTATTGTTCCTCGGAAACCCTATACAGGGTCACTATGGGTCAGAACTGACTCAATGGCACTTCGACAACAACAACTAGCAAATTACACTTCACTGTGAAAAAGAATCGAACTCTACAGAGTGGTAACTAACAACATTCATTAAAAATCTTACCTGAGAATCTTTAACAATACTTGTGGTATCTGGTTGCATTTGGTTTGCAATCCCAAAATCAATTAGCTTTAGCATTCCATCAACTATTAGAAAGTTAGCAGGTTTCAAATCACTGTGAACAATACCTTCAAAATAAAAACCCACTATAAAATTAAACAACGTAAAACATTCTAAAAGTAAGATATTTCACAATCTACATACCAAGTTGGTACCTTCAGTCAGTCAATTCAAATGAATTATTTTTTATATATTCTACAAATACTTATACACCATCTGCTGTGTGCCAGGCACCATTTTAAGTACTTTTCTGGTATTGAATCATTTAATCCTTTTCAGATTTCAGTATTTTTATCATCCTTACTCTAGGAAGGGGGGATAAGCATTACTATCATTCCCATTTTCATATTGAGAAACTAAAGTTAAAGGCTGTAAATCACTTACTCAAGACCACAAGTGACGGGACCATGAGTTGAGCCCAGGCTATCTGGCTCCAGAGCCTATACTCTTAGCCACTGTGACTCACAGCATATCAGGGGCATCCTTAAATCACACTACCAGGTAGCAAGACTCTAATGCTTCTCATATCTCCATCTCTATGGGCTTGATGTTGCTCACTAATGAATTATCTTCTAACTTAAAAGAAGGTACACATAGGCAGAGACAAATTACAATGACCAATGCTGACAATTAAGAAAGAAAGAAAAAAAAAGACGAGAAAAAGTACAGGGGAAAAGCAGAGAAACCCTAAAAAAAAAAAAACAAAAAACAACCAACTCTCACAACCAAGAAGGTATTGCTAAAAATAAAAAAGAATAAAACCAAACACCCAAACAGAGAATAAAATATAAACTGATTAGGACAATGAGTGAAATAAATAAATAATGACACTTTTAGAATGCCTGAATCACAAAATCTCAGACTTGCAAATAATAGTTATTTGCAGATGATGATTATGAACTATGCTAATATCAAGAAACATACATTCTTTCTCATAATGGATGTGGGACTTGAGTTCATGTCCGCTATCTCCTGAATTAGCAATGTTTTCTTCCTTCATTTAAAAATAAACTTCCAATTTTTAAATAAAATGGCCAATGTCTACTATTTTGACATGAGAGCAGTATTTCTCTAAGATAACACTATTTCAGAGTCACTATTCTAAAAAGACATAAAAATTTTAACTTTATATATGAAGAAATTTTTTAAAATACCATGTTGATGAATTGTATGAACAGCCTCCAACATATTTTTCCAGTAACTCTTGCGTTCCCATGGGTTGATAGATTTTTTCTTTTTAAGCCAACTATTAAGATCAATATTTCCACACTCCATTACCATGTATATGCAATGGTCAGTGATTTCACTGTAGATAAAAGGAAATAACAGCAACAAAATAATAAATAGCTGAGTTATAATAATCCTTACTAAGTATTTACCAGAATTATAGCCACACACACAAAGATGAATTTTCATTAAAAAATTTTTTTAAAAACTTACTAATCATAAAGTCGGATGATCTTATCACTGTGTTGTTGTAATTTATTCAAATAAGCTATTTCATTCCTGTAACTATCAATAGTTTGATTATCTGCTTCTTCTAAGTTCACGTATTTTATAGCATGTATCTGTTTCTTTTCATTTAACACCTGAAATACCTAAATAATAGTTCAAAGAAAAGAGTTTAGAATACATTAAGCATATACTATCACATATTTATTAGACAAAATGTTATGTTGAGAAAATTCTGAAGGAAATACTGGCGTAACCAATTAAAAGCTTCTTAGCCTGTTGTATGTTTTGTAGTGCCACTGAGTCGGTTCTGACTCATAGCAACCATGTATAGGGTTTCTGAGGCTTTTTAAATCTTTGTGGGACCAGAAAGCCTCATCTTTCTTCCACAGAGCAGTTATCAGGTTCAAACCGATAATCTTGTGGTTCACAGTCCAGTGCTAATTGTATGGAGTCACTGCTCCCATTTTATGAATACAGAAGGAAAAATATTAACCAGAACATGGCACTAATAATCTGTTTCCAACCATCTACAATAACAAGTATTCAATAAGTTATAGCTGTAAACCTTAAAAAGGTTTCATATTAACATATGGTGGTTGGCGGCTATGTGCTGTGGAGTCAGTTCCAACTCATACAGGGTTTCCGAGGCTGTAAATCTTTACGGGAACAGAAAGCCTCATGTTTCTCCAGTGGAACAGCTGGTAGTTTCGAACTGCTGACCTTAAGGTTCACAGCCCAATTCATAACCACTATGCTACCACTGTTCCTTATTAACATATGAGGGGGCTTAAAATTTTCATAGAAAAATGGAACTAAAAAGATCATGGAGGGGGTGGGGCTTGATGGCGGATAGGGCAGAAGTGCAGTGAAGATCTCTGTCAGCAGTAATACTGAATACCAGATGAAATAGGTTCAGGGGATAGCTCCAAAACTCTGAGCCACGTATATAAGAATAGTTAAAAAGTTTGAAGGCTTATAGCCAGTGGAACCTGTAGTGGATGCAAGAAATCTTGTACTTTCAAAGGTGCTGGGCTCAGCAGCCTGGAGCCGACACCTTGGGCAAACCAAGAGGTGAGACCAAACAGGGCAGCGAGGAGACCCACCACAGACTGATGCCTGCGGAAACTTCTGATACAAAGGTGTTGACATTACATTAGTTTTGTTTTGTTCTGTTTGGTTTGTTTTTTTGGTATCTGTTCATTGGCCTCTTGCTTTCTACGCACCTCCATTCTGGTGACTAGAGGGGTTGAGTGAGTGGACACCCCCCTACATCCCCACGGCTTCAGGGTTCTATTATGCATGTGCACAGACTTCCTCAAATTTAAAGAGGCAGAGTCTTCAAAAAAATCAACCAGCAGCTCAAAACAGCCACAGCTGGCCCTGAACTGTTTCTCACTAGGAAACAGGTTAGAATGGGGATTGTGGAGTGGGAGAGACAGAACGAAAAACGAAACAGGCCAAAAATTAAATCCTGAGTTACATCTTAACAACCAACAGTGGCATCCTGAAATTTCTCAGGTGGCCTTGAAGGCAAGAAGCTGAAAGAGAATACTAAAGTCATACCCATATTAGGCTACAGATTTTTTTTTTCCCTCTGTCTCTCTTCTCTCTTTTCTGTGATTATAGACTACAGTATCTAATCTGATATTTTTTGCTGTTTTTTTTTTTAGTTCCCCCTTTTACCTTTATGAGGCTCTTTCTCTCCCTACATTACCCACGGAGAGATAGCAATTGCTGTCATACAGTCGAGCTAAAATCACACCCTATAAAATCCCATAGTCCAGACAAGAACCAATACCAACTGCCATACACCAGGAAGGCAGACAACACCTGTGATAGTTACTCTGAGTTAAAGAAGAATGAAAAAGGAAGCCCTTCTCCTGATCACATCCGTCTGGAGGCAATCAGAAAGCATAAAAACAACAAAACACACACTCAATGTGGGGAGGGGAATGGAAGAACAAGGTGGATGGGAGAACAAGACAGGTTTGCATGGGCTAAGTGAGACAGAGATAAATAATAATGTCCGCACAACCTTGGAACAACAGGGTTCTGGAATACAGGGATTCAGGCATAGTTTGAATGGGTAAAAGAGGGGAAATAATGTTAAGATGCTTGGCTGTCTTTTGAATGTTGTTGTCCTTTGCATACCATTGTAAAATAGACACTTGAGATGGAGAGAAAGGTACAGCCAGAAACATCACTATAGAAAGCTTATAAGTCTGTCTTCAGCCTGTAACTGATTGGAATACCTAAAATGGGGTCAGAACTTGCCCAGTGAAGGAGAGGCTTCCTGCGGGGCCTTTGCATTACATAAGACCATAGGTGGAATCCTGATCCCCACCCTGAATCTTCTGAGGTGGGAAATCTCCACTTGAAAGGATGGGCAGACCAGCCTGGAGCGCTAGAACCAAAGATACTTCTTGAAAGAAAGATCGGCAGGAAAAATCAAAAACACGAACAGTAGTCCAATTGATTACTGTAAGAACAAGCAAGCTGTCCACCATCAAGGCAAGTGGTTAGGTCCCTCCAGGGCAACCCCCCTTGCAAGACTAAGACTCAAGGGGAATACACAAGCAGGTATGTGGTCTGACCACAGATATGGGGAAGTGGGAGAAAAACAGCAATCAAGTTGTGAGCTAAGTCCGACCACATTCAATAGACTCCTATGAACCTGGGTTAAGACCTGGTTGGCCAGCAGTATGGCAAGTCCTAGGGACTCTTGGTCCCAGAGACAGGGACATGGCCACAGAGGACTAGAGCAGAGAGTGAAGCATCCAGCTGATAAGAAATGTGGGGAAATACACAGGAACACCCATACTTGCAAATAGTACACATTTGACTGACCTAGCTTCAATGGCTGATGATTAGAGCTCAATTAGAAGAAGAAAGAAGAGGAAAAAAAGTGTAACCTGATACAATTTGATGAACTTGATCTATACCTATGGATGTAGTAGCTTAAAAGAGGGAGCAAATCTTTATAGTGAGGACCATTCCCACCCCTTCAGTACAAAGGGTAGATAGGGATGGGTAACTTAGACAACAGCTACCCAAAATGGGGGGTGGGATGGGGTTGGTGGGTGGCTATAAAGGCAAGAAGTGACTGGCTTACAAGCTTTTAAGAGGGAGCCTAGATAAAGAGGGTTACGCAGGAAGGTAGACTCTCCACTGAATGGTTTCCAATCTGTCTGGACAGGGCTGATGTAAGGAGATGGGGATAAGACTCTTGTGGTACAAGAGTGAATAACTGATATCAGGACTGACTGTAAGGACTGGAAATGTAAAGGTAGATGTATTGTAACAAAAGGAGGGGAGTGGTTGACTTTGCAGTCCAGGAGCAGAGGGCCCTGGGACCATCAAGGGAGAGGAGCAGAGTGTGGGATCCTATCCAGAGAAGCAGTGACACCAGAGATGGAGGCAGAGGCAATGACGTGGAGAGATGGATCGATTCAGGACTGTAGACCCAGGGAGGGACAGGGATTGTGTGCTGACGACCAGGGGGCAGGCTTGCGAGGTGTACCCTTTGGATGTTTGATGAGGCACTGAGGGGATTGTAACCATGGCAATGAAGCGAAATAACAATCGGATGAATGTAAAGTTAATGTTCTCCCATTTAAACTATCATATAATTCATAATAAAAACTTAAAAAAAAAAGATAATGGAATTTCTCCACAAACTTTTTGAAGGCTTCTTGAATAAGTAAGATGATTTAAATTCCTTTTATGTTGAAAACACTCTATTGGATGTTTTAACCAGGAAAATAAAATAAACAAAAGACATTTAAAAAACTGAAAGAAGATTAGGAGCTGTGACAGGAGTAAAGTCTCAAGAGTTTACTTAAATGCTTAGCAAAACTCAAGAAGAAATGCAGAACACTTGGTTGTATACACTTACAGCCCCAATTAGATTCTGACTCATAGCGCCGCTAGGACAGGGTAGAACTGTCTCCAAGGCTATAATCTTTATGGAAGCAGACCTGCCACATCTTTCTATCATGCAGTGGCTGATAGGTTTAAACCAACGACCGTTCAGTTAGTAGTTGAGCACTTAACCACTGTACCAACCACCAGGACTCCCTAGTTGGATAAGTCTAAAATTCAAAACCATGAACTCGGTTGAGAGCACCACAGTAATGAGTTAGGAGAAAAAAAGCAGAGGTCAAGACCTGAACAGCAGGGCATTTCAACCAATAAGATCAGAATATGGAAAAGATTGAAAAGGAATGGTCAATTTAAGAGGAGGAAAACTAAGGTCAATGGTTGAGAAGTGATGAGGGCAGGGGATCAGAAGGCCCTTTAAAGAAAGGGTGATACAAATCCCTAGAGGTTAACGAAGAAGAGCCAGCCACAAAAGAAAAAAAAGTAAAGTTTGGAATATTTTTATTCATTTAGTATTTGAAATACTTACCTTACTTGAACCTCCACTTCCTACCTGCTTCAATATGGAATAAATTCTTCCTTTAACTGTAATGCATTCATTTGTTGAAGAGGATGATGAAATCTAAACAAGTAAAATATATAAACAAAAGTTTAAAGAATATGTTAAAAAACCTAGCCAGTATTCAAAACGCTTCTATTTTTGAAATAATCATAAGTACTCAGTATTTTTTAAAAAGGGAACTTGTTCTATATGCTTCAGTCAAATAAAATCATTAAATGAACAGACAGACAAATTTCCCAAGTATCCTTCATTGATTACTTTTTTTTTACATAAGCCCTAAAGGAGGGGAAAAAAACATTAACATCCAATATGTTGTTGTTGTTGCTGTTTTTGAGTGCCGTTAAGTCGGTTACGACCTGGTATAGGGTTTCTGAGGAGTGCCTGGTGTGTTTTAATCACTAACCTTGCGCTTTAAACTGACCTTGTGGTAGAGTGCTTATCCTACAGTGCTACACCAGGCTTCCAATATCCAAACTCATAAGTTATCATTCTTTAATTTTTCCCTCCTATTCTTTATACTTATATACCTCCATGCATACAACTATATCATTACCATTTTCCTTATCTAAGAATATATTATTAAGAAGTCAATGTTCTAAGGTAGTAGGCACTCCAGAGCCAATCAGACAAATTTGTTTCAGCAATGTACTTGGTTTGCTGGGAGATGTTAAATGAGTTACTTAAATTCTTAGAACTTTGACATTTTCTTTGGCAAAAGTTCCAACTGATATACTATATAACTTGATCCTTTAATCTCCCTGTGGTACAATGAATTACTGCTGGCTCTTCTAGCCACAGTCTTTATAAAACTCCCATCAAACGACTGGGTGGGAACATGCAAAACAGGTGTATGGAGATTTAACAAGGGGATTAGTCAATTTGCCATCCCACTAGTTTTAAGATGAGCCATCTGAGAAGCAGGAAGGGGGAATCATACTACCATCAAGAAAGAAAAGTCAGGAGTGGAATGAGTGCATCCTTTGGATCTGAAGACTCTTGTATGCTGAACCTCCTTGATCCAGGACTCATAGAGCTGTGATACCAGGGGAGCGGCAAAAGGGTGGTAAAGGAGCAGCAGCAACAACACCAAGAGCACAAGACAGAGTGGTGGGCTTTCCAGCCCATGGAGCAAGCAAGCTGAGTGCCTTCAGGCAGGAGGTTCACTTGCAGAGTGGGTTGCCTCTAGGCACTTAATTGGAGGAGCAGGTTTGCTAACCCCATGGAATGAATGGATTTAGGTTGAGACTAATGGTGGAGTAGCATACCCTTTGAGAATTTACTGGCAACACTAAGTGCTTTGTAACATTGCCTGAGCTGGGCAGAGGTCAAAGGGCCATGTGGTTGAGAGGCTGAGGACCACAGAGACGTATACCTGCCAGCATGGCTGAGAAGAGGCAGTCATAACCAGAAGAACTATACCTTGAACTTTTCTGAAACTGAAATGTAACCTGTTAACTTGCTTGGTCTGTGAGTTCTGTGCAGCCATTGTAATGAATTATAGAATCCAGAAGAGAAGTAGAAAAGTGTTGTGGGAGGGGCAGTTGATGTCACAATTAATAAAGAGGGTTTGAGGGTGGAGGCATGTCTGTCTGACCTCTGCCTCATATGAATACACCTTTGGCTGAAGTTTAGTTTGAGAGGAGTTCAGACGTAACTTCCACCCATCATTCTTACACCTTCCCCTTCCCTTATGCTTGATGTTCCAGGAACTGTGAAAGTTACTAGTTCTGTGAATAGGCAGCTGGGCCTTTCCATATGATGTAACCCCTTGTTTAACTCAATGATTTTATGCATGACAGAAAAAGCACAGCAAGAACACAAAATCATTTGGCTGAATCAAGGTCTAAAAAATGTGACCTTTAGGCAAAAGCATTTAAATAGCTATATACTTATATATGGAGTCCTTGTATGATGCTGTATAATAAAACACTGGACTGAAAGGTCAGTTTGCACCACGAGGTCAGTGGTTCAAACTCACCAGCCGCTCCTTGGTAACCCAACACAGGGCTTATATGAGTCAGAACTGACTTGACAGTACTTAACAACAATACTTATACATATGAGAATAGTGATTATTGTGAAGCTGAACAAAGTAGCAAGAAAGGAGACAGACGGGTGAATTGTCAGCTAGTCTGATGCACACAGCCATTTTGAATGTTTGCAAGCAGTGTTTGATAGAGACAACAGCCTGACACCAGATGATGAAAAAGGTGGCATTTTCCCTTGCTTCCCACACCATCCTGATGACCAAAAGCATGATCAGTCTCAAGCATCACCTACTCATTGGCTGGTGACAGCCCTGAGGCAGAAGCCATGCCAGGTGTACTTCTCTTAAGTCTGGAGGCATCTGAACTCTACCTCCTCAGACGTGGGCCTTTATCCACTCCTATTCCCCCTAATTATCGATATACAACAGCCCAAAGCAGCCAAACCCACCTTCAACTCTGCTACAGGAATAGCAAACAGAGAATAGTGCACACACTCACATTCTCTACTGCACCTGCTAAGAGACAGGTACGTGGTGGGTGCCTAAGTACACACCAATATCAATATAAGTACAACATCACCACAATATCGTGGAGAAAACAGAGATAATCTCAGTTCACATGAAGAAACAAGACAGCTCTAATAAGTGAACAAATATAAAGCCAGAAGACCTTTCAGAAGAAGGAAGGGCATTGGAATAACCTGATAAAAGATTCAAAGAATGAGCGGCACCTTCAAGAATCTGAAAGAAAGACCAAGAAAACTACAGACATAATTAAAGAAAACAAAGATAAAACTTTAGGAGGATTCAGGAAAACATTATAACACATTGAAGGGGTAAAAGAAGGCCCAATTGGTGAGCTTGAAGACATATCTCTTAATATTCATCTGCTAGAAGAACAATCAGAAAAAAGAACCAAAACCCCCAAAGAATGCAGCTGAATTATGTGGGACACCATCCAGAGGAATAACATGTGTGATCGGAATTCCAGAACAAGGATAAAACAAAAACAACACAAAGAAAATTGTTGAAGAGATATTGGAAGAGACGTTCCCTAACATCATGAAAGATGAAAAGATATGCATACAAGAAACTGAATGAACCCCAAATAAGATCTACCCCAAAAGAAAATCATCAAGACATACCATAATCAAACTTTCCAAAATCAAAGACAAGTAAAGAATCCTGAGAGCAGCTCGGGACAAATGAAAAGTTACTTTCAAAGGAGAATGAATTAGACTAAGCTCTGCATTCTCAGCAGAGTAGAATAACCAATAAGACTAAATTCTGATTTCTCTCAGCAGAAAGTGTGCAAGCAAGAAGGCAATTAAGATGAAATGCATAAAATTCAGAAAGAAAAAAATGCTAAACAAGAATTGTATGCTCAGTAATCTGTCCCAGACATGATAGTGAAGTTAGGACATTTCCAGATAAGCAGAAATTAAAGGAATTTGTAAAAACCAGACCAAGCTTACCAAAAATACTAAAGGGAGTTCTTTGGACAGAGAAAAAACAATAATAAACTACAACCTGAGTTTGCCATATATGACACCACCATCCACAAGTCAATCCAGACGGAGATATATCCAAATTAAAACAAACCTACAAGACTGAAAATAGGGAATCAGAGATATCAATTTGCAACGAAGATAATTACAAAGTAAAAAGTGTGAATGGTGAAATTATAGAACTTCCAAATAGAAAGGAAGTAAAGGAGCTCTGGTAGTGTAGTGGTTACAAGTCAGGTTCTAACCTCAAGGTCTGCAGTTAGAAGCTAACAGTTGTTCCATGGGAGAAAAATGAGGCATTCTGCTCCCGTAAAGATTTACAGCCTTGGAAACACTATTCATTGTCACTATCAGTTGGAACTGATTCCATGGCCCACCATCACCACCAAAGTAGATTTCAAGATACAACAGACTGTTTTAAACTTGGGAAGAAATTAATACACGTGTTACTTGAGTGAAGGGGAAGGCAATATACAATTATAGACAAGCAGGCTGAACAGGTGTGGGAGGAAGAGTAGGCCTATACCCACAAATATATAGGTTGGGCAAAAGATATTTGTACATGGGTATTTACTTTTACTGCAAACAAATTCATACATGAGAAGCACTGTTGTTAAGTGTCATTGAGTCAACTGATCTTGTGATCCTGTGCTAATCCTACAGGATCACACCAGGACTCCATTAAGAAGTATATGGGGGGCAAAGTTATGATAAATTCTTAGATATAACCAAACACTTTAAGGGAATGAGTTGCTCAGCTGGGAGTCTCGAAGGACTATAGTCTTAGGGAGCACACCAAGGTCAACCGGAATAACATAATTCACAAAGACAATGTTCAACATCCTACTTTGGTAAGTAGCAACTAGGGTCTTAAAATGAACAGTTCATGAGTGGCCATCTAAGGTGTAACTATCTAGAGGAAAGATGAAAACTGAATATACATGGAAACAATTCATCCAGTGGACAAATGGGTCACACAAACATCCATCTACACAAACCTGAGACCAGACTTGATGGTACCTTGCTAGGACTACCAGCTGTTTGGAAAGGGATCATATTAGATGATTTTGGATAGAGTGGGAAACAATGTAAAACAGAATTGAAACTTCTAATTGAGACCAGGCTTACTGTTCAGACAGAGATTATGGAACCCCCAGGACTGTAGCCCTTAGTCACCCCTTCAGGTTCAGAATGAAGTCACCCCTGTGGCTCAGTTTTCAGCCAAACTGGACAGACAGGTCTACCAAGGGGAACAATAACACTACTGAAACATGCAAACCTTAACATTATCAACTAGTTGAGATCAAGAGGACAGTATGTACCCAAGGACGAACTTTAGAAGGGTTAGAAAGAAAGAGGAATAGAATAGGAAACACAGAGATGAAGTGGGATAAGTGATGCTAAATTGAGAGGACTGTAATCAATTAGATGAAACAAAACGCATGTGAGTTGTAGAATATAAAATTGATGATCTGCTCTATAAACCTTCATCTAATTCTCAATGAAATTTTTAAAAAAAGACCTGACATTTAAAAAACATGCTTTACAATATACAACCGTGTTAA